GGCACGCTCGTCACGGGTCTATGTTTAGAAGGGACTTGGGGAGCCACGAGATCCGGCTGGGGATTCCTGGAATGACGGGGCGAGGGGAAGGACGTCCTCACGGTGCCGGGGGAGACTCCCGGGGAGGAGGCTGAGACTGAGTGCGCTGCGTCGTCGTGACGACTGCGGAGCCAGTGTGTGTCAGTCCGCCGGCCCCAGCCTCTGTCGGCCTGCACTGCTCGCTGAGCCGGCGGGCTCTCCACCGATGCTCAAGGTCACGTGCACACCTGAGAGAGACACGGTGTCTGCCCCTGGGGCAGCGTGGGGGTTGTGGTTCAAAAAGCATGACCTGCCTCGTGAGACTGCTGTGGGGGAGGACTTGGAGGGCCAGGCGCCCGGCGTGCCGTGGGCACACAGCCCGTGCTCCTGTCTCCTCGTCCGTACTTCGTGTAGACCCTGCCTTACAGTACGATGCCCGAGGCCACGTGACAAAGCCAACAATGTCAACAATTTCTCATTTGCCTCACTGGCTTAAAATATCTTCATTACATGGCAGTGGCCGTTTGAATAGAGGAATGCAAAGCTCCTGAGTGTGCAGATTATGAGACCCACACAAACAGCCAGTTTAGACAATCCAGGGGCAGAAACCCTTAAAGCTCCCTTTTCTTATTTGTGTCCTATTTTCCCCCTGAAGCCGCCCAGGAAAATGAGTGGTCCTGGCCCCGGTTTCAGTCTGCCAGGCGAAGAAACCCTCGAGGGGTGTTTCTCTGTGGTTGGGCCCCGCAGACCTGGCAGACAGTGGGGAGGGGAGTGGAACCTCAGCTGAGGGCCTGGAGGGGCCCCGGCCTCACCTGCCGAGCAGCCTTATCCTGCAGCGGAGGCCACCGAGGCATGGAGGGGGAGGGCTTTGACCCCACTGAGACAGCTCGTTAATGGCAAAGGAGGTGCCCTGGTGTCCTGTCCCCTGTTATCACCAGCCTGCCGGCTGCTGCAGAGATACTGTTACTGTAAATAATATCAATATCAATATACTACCACTCATGCTAATACTGCGGGACCTCCCTCCTAATAATGCAGTATTGGGGAGCCGGGACCTTGAGCACAGAGACAAATGACTGGCTCCATCAGGGAGGGCTGGCGTGGCACAGCCAGCTGCAGTTCGGTTGGCACAAGCGCGGGACACCCAGAGGCTACGCCAGCCAGCCAGCCCTCACCTGAGACGGGCCAAGGCCCGGACGGAGGTCAGCACGCAGGCCAGATAGGGAGTTTCGAGTTCAACTGGCCTGGCTGAGCTTCGCTCCCCACCCGCCATCGCTGGGCACGGGTCTCAAGAGCAATGCGAGGCCTGCAGTGAATGCACCGGGACCTTGCCCAGGTTCCCTTCGCAGGCCTGCGGACTGTCCCCCCCGCTGCTGCTGCTTCGATGGCAGGCAGCAAGCTGCTCCTTCTCCACCGGACTAGGCCCGGAGAAAGGGGAGCTGCCAGGGAGGCGGTAGGGCCCCCAACACCAAGGTCTTCCCGGTGGCTGAAATAGGAAGACAAAAGGCCAGCTCCTTCCCTGCAGGTGGGGCAACGCTGAGGCGTCGTTCCTGCTCAGCAGCTCGCCCCCACACACACACACCTGCAGTAACCCCTTGCGGGGGTCCCTCCGTGCCAGGCCCTGCTTCCAGGGAACTCAGTCCTGGACAAGACCCACCACAGAGAACCTTAGCACCGCCCATTCACTGTGAGGGGTGCTGAGCGCACTTGACGCCCCCCCCCATGGGTCCTGTCTCGGTGGACTGACTGCCCATCTCCTTCCTCTCCCTGGGCGGCGGGTCCTCGGCACCCAGCCCTGCAGCAAGGCGTCTGAATTCGGCCGTTACCCAGCCCTGTGGGGGCTGTGACAGCTTTTCGGGCAGCATCGTAATATCCTCCCAGACGCAATATCCGTCCTGCTTTTTGAATCTCAGAATTTGTTCTTGCACGGAAGACGTCCAACAGACCTCGGCGCCGTAAGGCGGTGCTGTGGTGATGACTCCAGGAGATGAGTCGCATGGTTCCTCCCGTGAAGTTCCGTTCTGTGCCTCCTCATCAGCCACATCTGGGGCCCTGAACTCGAGAGCGGAGCTCTTGCTCCAGACGGGCGGGAAATCCAGTCTGGCGTCGATATGTCTGGAGGCGATCAACTCTGGACGGGAAAGACGACAGCACACCTTCCCCCGCCCCTCCTCTCCATCGGGCCTTTGGTCCTCAGCTGGATTTCAATATCCTGTGCGGCCGACCTCTGAGCTGCGTATCAGCAACATCCCGGTGAGTCAGCCCTCATAAACCACCTGCCCTGAGAGGCCCTCCATTGCCTTCTGTGGGGGGAGGGGACCACCACGGAGTCCCTGCGTGGGGAATGCAGAGCCCTGAGAAGCAAGCACCTGCTGGGTCGAAATACATATCGTATGTGCATGTGAACATTTTTGCTAAATATTAGCCATGGGCCCTTATGGGTGCCGGGATTGTCACTGATATTAATTCATGGACCTGATGAAGGGCGGTTTCTCCTCGTCTGTGATGTAGCACTTGCATAATGAAGCAAAGTTTTAAAAACCGTTCCAGTACGGCAGCACAATTCCATTTTCAGCTGTGCCACTAGCACCTCAAGCTGTCTCCAGGAGGCTTTAAGAACAACAGGCTGGGATCTGGGGGTTCCGCCCCTGCGCGCAGGCAGGCGGAGTGGGCACGCTTCTTCCCCCGTCCAAGTCGTTAGCGACTGCCCTTCCTCGAGCTGCATGCTTGGCAGGGTTGCACCGCGGAGACCCTGCGAACCGAACCGGCCAGATGGGGCACCCACCCCGCAGTGGCGGCTGCTTGCACCCGGCTTCCTTCACCCACCCGATGGTCCCAACTTGAAGTGGCCGAGAGGACACAGGCTCCATCCTCAGTCTGTGGTCCCCTGCCTGGAGCTCCAGCTCTCAGAAAGCAGCCAAAGTCAGTGTGAAGGAGAACTAACCAGTCCGTCAGATTTCTGCAGACGTGCACACATGCACCCCGCCCCCCCCCAGCCTCTCTGACAAGTCTGAGAATCTTCCTTCTGGAGCTCTATTGCAGCAGCACTCGGCACTGCTATTTCGGACCCACACCCTAAGAAAGTATTCGTTAGGGCCCATCCAACATGTGCATGTGTATGTATATAAAGTTATATTAAGTGCCGAGTTCCTCATTTAAAATTAATGCTCCCTGGCCCCTTTGAGTTTGTGGCTCACGAAATCTGACAATGACGGGGTGGGCCAGCAGAGGAACAGGCCCTGAGTAGCTGGCTCCTAATTCTCCCGGGAAAGGAAGCTCCCGGTGCTGAAAGAAGGCCAGGCAGGGCGGCAGGAGACCTGGGTTTGGTCTCAGCGGCGCCTCCTCATGCAGCGGCGTGGCTGTGAGCAGGGTGCTCAAACTCTCTGACCTCAGCTTCCAGCTGGGGAGAGAGCAGGGAGAGTGACTGAGTGTACGTTGTCCCAGAAACACTCACTGTGTCTTCCAGGCTTACAGATGCCATGATTCTGTTAACAGAGACCAAGTTACTGAGCAGTTACTTTCTCCTGCTAATCACCACAGGGCAGGAGGCGAGGGTAGTTCCCAACCCACCGTGCTCTGGGGCAGAAGAAGATTGACAGTGAACTGCAAAGGGTAGGGGATTTGCATCAGGTTGAACTTCTTCCGTGTCTGGGAGGCTGACCTCGGTCAGAGATAGCCCTGGACCCTAGAGAGCCAGAGGGCCTGCTGATGGTGCAAGGCAAGGACCCAGCCTCTCCTTCAGATAGATTCCCATGAAAAAAAACGCCTCGTGTTTCTTTGCTATAATACCGGTATCTCAAGATAAAAGGAGGCCACCTATGTGAAAAGTTCCCTGATTTGAAATGCGTCAGAATCCATTCGTGGGTTTGTGAAAACAGACTGCTGGGCTCCACCCCAGAGTTTCTGGTTCAACTGGTCCTGGGTGGCCCTCCCTGCCCCCCGCCCCACATCCCTAACAAGCTCTCCGGTGATGCTGAGGCTGCTGCTCCAGGGACCACACGGTGAGAACTGCAGCTCTGGAGCAGTGCAAGGAGTTCACTCAGCAGCGGGCAGAGGGAGCTAGGGCGAGCAGCTGTTGAGGCAATGTTGGCATTAAGTCACTTTAAGGACTTCTCATGTTTTCTTCTGAAAAGCAGGTACATCGGGAACTACTCAGTAGCCACTGTGACATGGACACCAGGACCAAAGAAAGCCTTGTGATCATTAACTGTTTAGTCCCCGAGAACCTACCTTCTAACAAACTCCTTCTCTTGCCCTGGCCAGCCCGTGTGACTCGGCTGGTTGGAGCGTCATCCTGTATCTGAGAGGCTGTGGGTTCGATTCCCCATCAGGCACATTACTTAGGTTTTGGGTTCAGTCCCTGGGTCCAGGTGCTTGCGATCCTCAGTCAGGGTGAGTGTGGGAGGCAACCAGTCAGTGCTTCTCTCTCACATGGATGCTTCTCTCTCAAAGCAATGAGAAAAATGTCCTCGGGTGAGGGTAAAAAAAAAAAAATCTTAATGCCAAAATATCTCCAGTGTTAAGGCCTGCTGCTGAAATGTGCTCATGCGCTCCAGTTTACACAAACGAGAAGGGAATCTACATGCTTTTTAAAGTGAGTCATTTCCGTGAGACACCCGGCTCAGAGTATGTATTGATTTTTCCATTTTGGTACTTTACTGGGTGCTTTGCAGAGCCAGGGTCAGTGGCTAAAGAGATAAATCACATAAAAAAAAACAACCCTGTTTGCCACCATGACAAACGGCAGTGAGCTGAGAGGTCGGGGGTGGGGGGGGCAGTATAGGGCCAGGCAAAGCAATTGCCACCAGGGAAAAGAACCTGCTCCCAGTTCCCATCTCCCACCTTCCCCAGGCAGAGAAGAGCGTCAGAACGAGCCCTTCTCCAGCTTCTTGGCAAATCCCTCCCTCCACATTCCAGGGGAACATCTTACAATTCTTGCTTCTTTTTCTTAAGTCAAATAAAGAAGAAGCGACATACGCCACTCTGGAGGAAAATGTCTGTATTAAAAGCCAAAAAAACAAAACAAAACAAAACACAGAAGTACAAGAAGAAACGCCCACCAGGCCACGTCACTGGATAGATCGACTTGGAAAAGGTTCATCAAGTTCATTTTCAGCAGTAACAATGTGTCAGTGTTAAATCATTCCCATGCCCGCCCCCTTTCAAATAAATTTTTTTTAAAAAACAAACAAACTTCAAATACTGTTTGGGTACAAAGAACTTCCCTTACTACAGCAATAGCAATTTGATTTTTTTTTTTACTAAAACTTTCATTTAAAACAGTTATTAAAGATATAAAACAAATACACAGGATTTGGTCATTTTCTGCCATGAATATAGGGCACGTGGGTGCGGGAGGGAGAGGGGCAGGGGGTGCAATCGAGGGGAAAGGGCCCAAGTCCCTGCTCTCCGCCTTCCCAGCGGCGGACCCCACCCCGCGGCAAGGGCCAGGGCCGGTGGCATCGCCTCGGAGCCAGAGCGCCGCACACGCCTTGCTTTGCAAACACGCCGGAACCTTTCTGGCGACCCCCTCCCCCGGAGAACTAACGGTCACTACAGCACGAAGCACACGGGCCGGGCTCCGGCGGGAAAGGCCCCCGAGAGCGCGGACGCCGGGCGGACGCAGGGGGGCGCGGGGCGGGTCACTTGGTCGCGGCGCCCGATGTCACGGCGGCGGCGGCGGCAGCGGCGGCGGCGGCGGCAGCGGCGGCGGCGGTGGTCCCCGCGGGCACGGCGGCGGGGGCGGCGCTGGCGGCGCTGGCGGTGGTCCGGCGCTGCTCCATGCCGTTGGGCAGGAAGCCGGCGATGATGGGCACCGGCCAGATGAGGGCGGCCACGCTCCACACGACGATGACCAGGGTCATGAAGCAGGCCACCAGCGTGGACTCGATGGGCTTGCGGTTCAGCCTCCAGCCCGGCTCCCCCTGCAGCTCCTCGAGGCTGAAGTCCAGGCAGCAGAAGTGCAGCGGCTCGCCCTGCAGCCACAGCGGCCCCGCGGGCTCGGCCGCAGGGTAAGCGGGCAGCGCGGTGGGCGCCCCGGCGGCGGCGGCGGCGGCGGGCCGGAGGCGGCCGGGCGGACGCCCGCGCACCCAGCCGCAGCCCACGCAGAGGCGCAGGTCCTGCTGCGCGCCGCCGGCCGCCAGCCCCAGGTGCTCGATGAGCAGCGGCGGCCCGACGCGGTGGAAGGCGGCGGCGAAGAAGGCGCGGCCGTGCGCGTTGGTGGAGAAGAGCAGCAGGTCGCACTGGAAGCCCCGCGGGCGGCCCCAGCGCACGAGCAGCGAGCTCAGCATCTGCCGCTGCACGCTGATGTTGCACGGCGTCGCCGCCTCCTCCGGGCCCGGGCGCTCGGGGGCCCCGGCAGCCGCGGGGGACAGCAGCCGCGGGGCGGCGGGCTCGCCCGCGGACGACGCGTTGACCGAGGCGTTGGGGGGCGCCCCGAGGAGGCCCGGCGCGTCCGCGACCCCGCCGCGGGCGGGCGGCAGCGGGCAGGCGGCGGCCAGCAGCGCGGCGAGCAGGGGCAGCATGGCCTGCGGCGGACGCCTTACGCGCGACGCGGGGCCGGCGGCGGCTGCATGGCGCGCGGGAGACGGGCGGGCGAGCTGACGGCGGGACCGCGGGAGCCGGCGGCCGGGCGGGGAGCCGGCGGCCGGACACCTGCCAGCCCGCGGGGGCGGCGCGGGGGCGGCGGCGGCAGTGTTTCGCTCGGCGCGGGGATCCTTCCCAGCTCGGCTGCTCTGGGGTTCCCTGCCGCCCCCGGCGCGGGGGCCCTCGGACGGCGCGCAGGCTCTGCGGGGTCCGGCGCTCGCCTGGAGCAGGATTCCCTGGCTCGGCTCCGCCTCCCGCGCGCCCCGCCCCGCCCCGCCCTCCGCCCTCCGCCCTCCGCCCGCTCCGCTGGGGGGCTGGGGGAGGGCGGGGTTCCACGGGAGGGATTCGGGGCTCGGCGCGGGGACTCCGAGGCCAGTTCCGGGGCCAGGCCGGAGGAGGGTTGTCGTCGGGGGGTCCGGATGGGGTGTTGGCCGGGCCGCGGAGGTCTGCGCGCTGGCGGCTCGAAGACACCGCGCGAGTCCGTCTCCAGGCGGAGAAGGCGCTCGGGGAGAACTGCGTGCTCGGAGGGAAGCGGGAGGGCCCAGGGACAATTCCTTTGTCACGCCTCGGGGAGCCTGCGACGTCTTACTTGGTGCTCGCCTGGTGCCCACCTGGATCCCGCCCCCTTTACAGAAGGGGAAACTGAGGCCGGGAGAAGGGGAATGACTTCCCTAGGTCACCCCACGACGAGCCAGAACCCGAACCCCGGGCCACTAGCTCTTTCTGCGTTTTTAAGGTGTCTCTTAGGACCTCAGATCTGGAGGGTTTGGCTAGGTTTTGATGCCTCCAACACAATAGACCCACCTGGTATTGCCCTCACAGCAAGCAGACCCTGAGGAAAATTCCAGGAATTCTCCGGAGTTTGGGGTGGAGTGGGGCTGGCGTGGCGGAGGGGGGGCGTTCCTGATGGGGCACTTCAGGGACAACCCCCCCGCCCCGCCCCCGCCCCGCCCTCGGCAGGTCGAGCAAGCCCTTGCTCATGGAAGATTTTCCTGTAGAATCCATCCATGTCAGGGCACAGTTCAGTCCTGCTGGGTCAGCAAGCGAGGGGAGGCCTGCCAGGTATAACATGTCACAAACCAGACTTATATTTTAAAAATACATTCCCGGTGGATTTGGCTTCTTACCCTTGGGAAAGAAATTTTCCCTGATCCCACTCTAAGGGTGAGCCTGTGTGGTTTGAAGTCGTTGTGCCCCAGGGCACCAGCTGCCCCAGAGTCTGGGGGCAGGGGGCGGGGGGCGGGGGCAGAAACAGGGAGTCCACTGAAGCGCCCTCCCTCCGACCCAGCCCCGTTTCCTGAACAGAACTACCTTGCTAGGTATCCCGGCCTGTCACCTTTCCGGAAGCTTTAGTCCATGGTTTCTGATAATGAGTAAAAACCAGGTTGAGAAAGATGTTTAAAAAGAAAGCACCCAATATAGGTGCCAAACCTACCTAGGCTCTTTCCTAGGTCGGCCCGTCATTACTCTGCCTTGGCCTTGGTGACCCTGTGGAAGGGGGGTCCGTGGTGCCTGTCCAGCAGGACTGCTGTGGTAAATGCATTCGGCCCATTGTCTGTCCCTCTGTCCCTCTGTCCACAGAGGTGCGGCCGTGGTACAGTGGCTGTCCGTCCAGCCCCCGCTGGCTGTCTCGAACAGCTCTTAGGTTCTGCAGAAACGGTTAATTTCCCTGAGGGGATAAGACTCCCTTTTGTTTAAACCTTCATTACTTTTCTGCTGGGAAGTGGTGCTACCAGAGAGGACAGTGTGACACTCCGTGCCTTTATTAAACACTGTGCGTCAGGAACAGTATCTGCCGCCTGCCCAGCCGGGACTGTTTTGGTCTGAGCCGTGTGGCTGCTGAACAGCCCGGGAACGCGAAGTAATTAATCCCGAGGGCTGAGAGACGCCCCCGTCTTCCAGGGGTGAGTTTTGAGTCAGGTCACCGTCTGTAACCACGGTGAGCCACTCCGAGGGTTCCAGCCGGAGGAGCGGGCTCCCCGGCTTTGCGCAGCGGGGAGGGCGGCAGCAGAGGCAAAAGGCACAGATCTCAGGGAGCCACGCTGTTCCCTGCAAAGTGGTGAGGCTGTAGCCCTGCGTCCGTCTGTCCGGGCGACCTGCTTTCCGCCCACTTCCCCTGCCCCCACACACACGCACCATGGACCCTGACACCTCCCACTCCTTCTGAGGAACATTCCATAGTTCCTGTGTTTTCTAGATTGTTGCTATCTTTTGGACCACTGGAATTTGGGGAAAGGAGATTAAAAAAAAAACCCCACTATGTCATTTTCTGCCTTGTTTCCTGCTGTGTTACCAGCTCAGGGAAAGAAGGACCCAGCCCAGGGCAGAGGCTCCGTACTTGCCGATGGAACCAATGTGCCCATTAGCCAATAGCTCTGACGAGCCGTCGTTTGCTCTGTGCTTGCCCCGTGTCAGGTGTTTGCCACGCACCACCTCTCCTCTTCGCAAAGGTCCCATGGATGTGGTGCCCATTTTACGATGAGGAAACCGAGGTTCAGAGAGGGCGAGGAACCAACCTGAACCCCCACAGCAGCGAGTGGCAAAGCCAAAATGTCGGTCCACTCCTCAGTGACTCCAAAGTCTGTGCTTTTCGGAGAAGGAGGGGCCTCGCATCTCATGGAGGTTGGGTCCCAAGGTCTGTGCATCAGCTAAGAGGGTGCAGTGCTGTTTTATTTGGAACAACGCTTTGGGTTGAGTTTCTTCTTAAACATATATGTGTTATAGACCTACTATAGCAGCATTATTCAAAGGTTGGGGAACCGGAGGAAGTGTGGATCGTCCCAGCTACCTGATAGCTTGACTTTTCTGCGTCCACATGATGAGCTGTCTCCACATATTTCCTATTGTCTAAAGCTGCAGCGCTCACTTTTGAGGGGAAAAAAAGACAAGGATGTTAAAGGGCCACTGTCTTTTACAACCACCCCTGCTTCGTGCTCTTCCCCTCAGCCCAGCAGGGACGTGGAGCGCTGGCCGGAGGCACAGGGTCATCGACGGGCAGGGGCTGACCGACTGAGCTGGCCCGCTGCTTACGTGGTGGCCAACCTGCTCCTACACTGTAGCTCCTGGCCCCTCCCTGGTCCAGCCCCTACCACTTTCCCTTCCCCTCGCCCCCTGGGCTCCAGGTGAGCTGGCTTCCTGGCTGTTCCCGGAACGCCGGGCGAACTCGGGGCTCGAGGGCCACACTCGGGCCGTGTCCTCTGCCCAGGACGCCGGTCCCCCTGCTGGTTCCCTCGCTCCTGTCAGTCAGAGCCGTGCTGGGTGTCGGCTCCTCAGAGAGGCCTTTCCCCACCCTCCTGTGCCATGGCACCCACCCCCTCCCACCCCGTCACCCCCCACCCCTCGTGCACTGTTCTGTGTCTTCCTGGTCCGTGTTTTCAGCTGATTCACTGTATGTGTTTCTTCTTCAGCGTCTCTCCCTGCATCGGAAACTCTGCTTCCTAGAAGGATGGTTTTACCTGCTTTTTCAATAGAACAGCCCATGGCGCATAGTAGGCTTCAGTAAACACGAGGGGAAATCCGTCCCCCCCCAAGCCTGGAATTTATTTGTAAAAAAATGTGTATTTATTCTCACATGTTTAAACTTCAGTCGACTTCAAAGTCCCCTCTGTCTGATGCAGCACACCTACCGAGATTTTTTTCCACTGCTCAGAGCAGTGTTTGAACTCCTCGATGTTGGTGCCTTTTAGTGCTTCTGATGTTTTTCGTTTCATCTCTTCCGCATCGGCAAAACCTTTCCCTTTGAGGACTTTTATCATCTTGGGAGACAAAAAAAAAAAAAAAAAGCCGCTCGGGCGAGATTGGGTGAGTAGGGGGGTGGGGCATGGGGACCATGCAGTTTTCAGTCAAAAGCTGCTGACCACTCAGCGCGGTGTGGGCAGGTGCGCTCGTAAATCACCCATCATGAAATGGGCAAACACATTGCAAGAGTTTAATTGTTTTTTTTTTTAATGAAGCCAAACGCAGCCTCTCACACCAACACCAGCTGGTGCACTGATGGAGATGGGTACCTAGAACATTGACCTCGTGGGGGAAGCCTGCACTACAAGGACCCGCCCCCAAGAAGATTATTCGGGTTTGTTTGGGTCCTTCCTCCTAGTTGACGAATGAGCGCGTGAATTCAACAGACCGGACCCGCCCAGCAGGCAGGATGTGGGCGGCAGTTTAGGGAGTTGAGATGGAGAGAGGCAAGTGGTCCCATAGCAGCAGGACTCCATGGTTCATGTCCGGCTGTGGGCCTGGAGCCCCACCCCATCCCGGGCCTGGCCCCTCCCCACCCTGGGCTGGCCGGAGGAGAGGAGGAGCCGGGCCCTGCTGGGGAGCATCCTGGCTGGGCAGGGTGCGGCTTGGAAGGCAGCCCGGAGAAGCGCCAACCTGCGCCGGCCTCGTTACTGTACAGAATGCCCCGGGAGAGCCCAGACTCTCTTACCTCAGATTTCAGGGTAAAAAGCAAATGAGACTCCTTTCCGTTCCCCAGATCCTGTAAGTTTTGTAAAGCGAATGGGAGACTTTGATGGATCTCCGATTCGTCCATTAAATACGCATAGCTAGTCTTTGTTGGTGGACTGTGCTGTTAGAAAACAATTGTCAAGGACTTCAAAGAAAATAATTGAGACGCACAGTCATGCTCATCACTCTCTCTGCCCCTCCCTGGGGTCGGCTGATTTTCCCCGGTACCGCCTGCTCAAGTGTGGCATCCGGAGCGGGTCTCTCCGGGTTATTGTGAGTTCCTTTCATCCGCTGACCTCAGAGTTGCAGCAGGTACAGTAATGCCTCAGTCCTCTCCTCCCACGTGGGTGGAATCAAGATCTTATTACCACACATCGCAGACCGAGAAATGAGCAAGGACCATAAAAGAATCATAAAAACAGGAGAAGAGAGGGGCTGAGAAACCAGCAGGTCAGAATCCCTGGGGAAGGCTGTGAGATGTGGGTTGGGGGGGGTGTTGGGGGGGGCCCACTGGGAAATGGGGAGGAACGTTTTTCACGCTGCCTCCGTGCACAGTCCCGTTCCTCAGCTGAGATCCCAGCACTGATCCGGGACCCGCTGAGGAGCTGGCCTCGGTAGCGGCCCCCGGAGGAGGGCTGGGAGCCCCCCAGGTTCGGCTCATCAGCTCCTGAAGATCCTAGGCCCTCTGCTTCCATGCAGATTCTCAATCTCCTGGGGTGCCTTAGCCAGATCTCCGGGGTGTGGATGCTTATCCTTCCCAACCACGGTGGGCAGAGGGAGATTTGTCATCACACACGTC